TCTTTGGAAGTCACTTCCAATGACAGTGCCACTGGGCCTGGGCATTGCCCACATCTCCAATGGAAAGTGAATGTTCTTGGACTATGCAGTTATACCCTGGTCTGCCCTGGTGGAACCGCCACACTTCTGGAGTTGGGGCTGGGATGGATGGGAGCATCCCTTACCCAGAATGCCAGAGATTCTATTTTTAACCCAGAGTTCAGGAGTTTATCAGTCATGAACACTTCTCAGTATTTTGTTGACCTTTGTTGGATTTCCAGGGAACTGAAATGGTTTTTGTCAATATTGTCCAGATTTATAGTTGCTTTTTGGGGAGAGGATTTGCCAGTCTTCTCTCTCTGCCATACCTGGCAGTCTGCTTATAATATTTTTAAAAAGATAAAAGACAGATTATTCTGGGCTATAATAAAAGATGCATTAGAGAAAGCAAGACTGGGCGCCCAAAAAGCAATAAGGAAGACTTGTAAAGGATTAGTAAAGGTAAGAGAATATGGTGCCTAAGTGAAAGCAGTGGTTATGAGGCTAAGGAACAGAGGGTTTAATGGAAAGAACTTCTTGAATCCTGATACAGTTTGTTTTCCATTTTACCATACTGCTTCTCACGGAGTGGGGAAAAGATTTTATGTTTAGTCAGGTATCAATCCTTGGTCTCCCTATCCCAAGGAAAAGTATCAAGTTGATCTTGTTGTAGGGTGAGCATAGTCTTCCTACTGGGACAGAATGCTTGGTGAACATGCACTGGCTACCATCTCCTCTCTGGGTTGGGTTGTCACATTTCAGTGGCCATTTTCAATCTGTTTGCATTATATCATTCTGAGCTGCCCAGAGCCTTGAGTTTTGATTCCAGTACCTAGTCATTTTCTTCTTCACTATTTTTCCTTGACCTTAAAACTTCTATTTGATCAGGCAGCAGCCACCCAAAATTGCCTTAGGATATAGTCTTATCCTTGACCATCTTAGCTGAACCTTGGAGCCTTCCCAAGGTGGTTTTTTAACTGGCCTATCTGTAATGAGAGCTCGTTTTGATCATGTTGAAGATATGATAAAGCAAACAAACTTTTATAGGGTGTGAAAAAAACCATCAGACCCACTAATTTTTACTGTAGAATGTAGGCTAATGGTTTAAGTCAGTTAATAGTACAGTTCTTTGCCATTTTGGTATCTTCCTTCACAATCCTATTCCCATTATCTCCACTTTTTCAATTGTTGAGTGCCGCATCATTTAGATATTTCATTCCAGTTTATACTACTGTTGGATAAGACGTATTCATTTAGCAATCCTATACTGAGCACTTTCTAATCATCTGGCCAACATCATTATCATAGCTAATATTTGAGTATTTTAAAAATGAATTTTACATAGCTTTATCTCATTTAACCTCACACTAACACTAAAGTAAGTACTAATACGGGCTGTATTTCATATCTGAGGAAACTGAGAGTTAATATCTTACCCAGAACTCATAGTTTGTAAGTGATAAAGGCATGATTTGATCCTAAGCTAGTTGATTCCAAAATGTCAGTTTTTAAGTATTATTCTATCCTGCCTGGTAAAACAGACAATTCAACATAAAACCTTAACAATTGGAGAGAATTATAAAGTAGCCAGTGATATTGTGTTAGTACTTCTAATGAAGAAGAAATAGAAAAAAGAAGGAAAATCAAACTAAAAATTGATATCAGTGGAAAAGTACGTAAAGTATATTCCAACAGAGGACGTTTGAGATCTGTCACTAGAAGAACAATTGAGGAAGTCGCAAGAAGAACGAACTTACAAAGTAGTTACAGACAAAGACGTTTCCATGTATTTATTCCTTATTGTCATCCGGTAGTATGCTAAGAATATACACCTTTAAGCAAATGCCCAGATTGCAAGGATGTAATCCAGGGTACTATTCATACATTTCCATAATAAAGAAAACCCAAACTGGTAGATGAATTTATATAGAAACACCTTTAAAATATTGTTGAACAGTTGATGCTATCTGAAGTTAAGATGTAGGTTCTTAAATTAGTAACATTTGTGTTCTACAGTGTTTTGGTTCTAGTATCTTGTTTTCAAAAAAGTAGACAGTATTATAGATTATAGTTAATATTCTTTGCCTATTTGCAGTAGAAAACTTGCCTGTGATGAATATTTTTGTATTTAAGGCAGTGGAGATGGTATATTAGTATATATGTTTGAACATATGAGGAATAAAAGTGCTATTCATACAACATTTCAGGAAGTAATAAATTTGGTACTCTTTCTGAAAGCTTTGAGTACTCTATCAGATTATACTTTAAAAGAACTGAGAACAAGGAACCCTTGAGTTTGTTAGAGTCATAGGTGCAAATTTTTTTTGGTGCTTTTCACTATTCTGTTATAAAATAGGAATTTGTATTTTATTGCCATTGATTAAAAAAACCTTTTCTCTAATTTGTGAGAAACATCTTAATAAAACACTTTAAAAAGAAAAAAATGTATAGATTACATCACTGTTCTACTCACAGTACTCCAGTGGTTTCTTATTCTAGGTCTAAACTCCAAAGGTATTATTACCGCCTCTCTGACTTGACGTAATCTGGTTCCCAACTAACTTTCTGACCTTGTTTCTTTCCTTACTTCCCCTTACTGACTTTGTTACAGCCACATAGGTAGAATTCTTAAGGGTTGTGGGAACACACCAAGCATGTTTCTGTCTCAGAGTCTTTAACTTCTTCCATCTGCCAGGAATATCCTTTTCTCAGCCCCATGGCTTGCTCCCTTAATTCATTCAGGTCACTGTTATATGACATCTCATTAGAGAGGCTTGCCCATGCCTATGGTATCTAAAATAGTGTCTCCCCACCCCCCAACCAATCTCTGCTCCTATGTGGAGCAGAGACTTTGGTGATTGTTTTTTACTCTATTCTCTTCTAGAATGTAAGTTATAGAACCAGAGGCTTTATCCGTTTTATTCTTTATTTAGCCCCAGAGCCTAGAATGGAGCCTGGCACACAGTGAATGGATGGATGGATGGCTAGATGGGTAGATGGATGATGAATAGTGGAATGTGTGGCTTTTGTTTGAAACAGAGATTTGTGATTATTAGACATAATGATAATTTAATTGATTCCTTACATCTTTCTAGCTCTTTACCATTTTCAGTGATTTTATGTTCACTTTGCCTCATTTCATCCATTTAATGGCCCTCTGAGGTAGGCAGAAAGCTGTAGTCATTATCCCTATTTTATATATTAAAAATGTGAGACTTAACTTAGACCCTTGCCCAAGGACACAGGGCTAACAAGTAAAAATCTAGGTAATAACCTAGACCTTTCTCTCTCTGACAGATGTTATTATCACTGCCCAAAGCTATCACCTATGGAAGACAGAATCTTTTACTGAGGAAGGTGATGAAATCCCCTTCTCTACAGTTTTATAAAGCAAACAAACCTAGTGTTTATAGTATACATCAGGGGAGCTCCAGGGCTACCTGATGATGAAGAGCCTTGCTGAGTCAACTTTATTCCCACATTAGGTTTTTAGTTAAATTTTGTTGACTAGTGGGGAGAAAATAAATTAGAGCAGAAAAATATCGAAATACATATTTTGACAGGGAAAGAACCTCTCTTGAGTTTTGGAACTGAAAACGATTTAAGGTCATCCCTCAAATTATAACACTCCTCTTCCTTCACATTCCTCAGGTGATTAAACTTCAAACCAAGAAGACAGATTTATTGCCTGTGGTCACCACAACTGCTTATATATGCCCAGCACTGTCAGTTTTTAAGTTATGCTTTGTGCTGGAGGCCCTGTTAAAGTCTATGAGAGTGCCAGTTTTTCCTACTTTTGTATGTCAAATGTGGTAAAAGACAGTCTTCCACAGTCAGTAGCTCTAGTATATTATTCCTTAGTTCTTCCATTTATCCCGTTATTCTGACTCTTGACCTTCCTCTTAGGAGGCTCCAGGTGTCAGGCAGGAGGGGCTCTCATCCTCTGTCTATCGCCTATACCAGATGGTCACTACTTTAGGACATGGACCATCTTTTTCATCTTTGTACATTTATGTCAACAGTATCAGTCTTACTGAGCACAAAGTAGGTGCTCTGAAAATACCTGAAACTATTGAATTATATCAGTATATATTAAAAGATCCCCATTGCCTCTCTGGTTCTTTGCTGACCAAATGATAGAATCATTTGGTCTCTATCAAAAATCTCATGTTTTGGAGGCATTTTGTCTCTTAATTCTGTGTAATAAACAGTAATGGCATGCTATTTTTGCCTGGACCTGCCCTAAAACCTGCCACTCTTGGCCCAGCTCTGTTACAGTTTGCATGGGGAAATCAGGTTGTCACAGATTGTGAGCAGATCTAATTAGTGATAAGTTCCATTCCAGGGTAGGGCGGAAGCTTAGGGAAATAGTATCCAGTCTGGGGAGAAATTCATTGTTCTCTTTAGACAACATGATCCTGATGCTGATGTTCTTTATCTTCAGGTTGAGGTGAGGACCCCTGGTGACGTAATGGGTCCAGGAAATTTTTGCAAAGAGAGGAAAAGGACAGGGCAAAAGCCTGTTTAGACTGCCATTTACCATATCAGGAGAGAGTAAGAAATTATAATGATGAATTTTGAAAAATTAGAAACTTTTGATCCCTTCCCTACATTTCATACTTTATTTCCTATTCAGTATGGAGAGCAAAATTCATAGAATAAGAAGGTACTGTGAGCTTGTCTTCAGGGGTTGGGTTGGGGGAGAGGCAGGTAGAAAAGCTGTAAGCTAGCTTCCCATTCACAGTTAGGCTTTGGGTGGGAGAAGGAAGCTCCAAGGGATTGAGTGGATATGATGGCTAAGAGAAGAGGGAGAAACAGATTGAGTTTCTGAGACTAGCTACACGGAGGTGAGAGCTTGGAGGCTAATGTGGATTTCAGAAGGGGTATCAGGTTGGGGTTTCTCCCTGGGGGGTTTGGTGATCCTGATAGTTAAGTTCCATGGCAGCTGGACCAGATGCATCTTGCTTTTCTTCTTTGCACAGAATGTGAAGGCTGTGTCTGAGACTCCTGCAGTGCCACCAGTTTCAGAAGATGAGGATGATGATGATGATGATGCTACCCCACCACCAGTGATTGCTCCACGCCCAGAGCACACAAAATCTGTGAGTCTTTGGGACCTGGACAGTTTTGTGATTTATTAGAGTAAGTGGGGAGAGGGAGGAGTTGGTGCTAAGACCTAGAAATTTAATATTCTGGTAGGGGTCCTTAGATTTTGGAGCTGGTGAAATCACTGAACTACCTTGACTAAAGGTACTTTCTGTATGATTAAAGACAAAAAATGGTGTATTTATTTATCATCGGTTTGTAGATAGTCCCAAAGTGTCCTATGTAATTGATGTTTATACCAATCCAGTCTTGGTTTGCTTAGCCTGTTCTCCACAGATAGGACAGGAAGATATACAGGATTGATGCTACTTAGTGCAGGACAAACATAAATTATTCCAGTCTCCAGGGAAGCAACAAATTGTCTTGCTACAGATCTTTTCTTCTCTGTTAAATATGCAGCATTGAGCCTCTTAGAGCATTATCGATAATACTGAAAGACCCAAGAGAATTTATAAATACATTAGCGCTATTAATATGCTGGGCATCAGGAGTGCATTTTGATGCCGGATGTTGGCAATGATTTCTGTTTAACTTTCTTTGAAGTTCCTGCATCTAAGAATAGCCATAGTCCCTCTACCCTTGCTTTGAAAAATCTAGTCCCCGTGCCTTTTACTTAATTTGGCATCACTGAGCACTGACCTGCCATCAGATGATACTCTACTAGTGTTTCTTTGTTTAGGTCCATAATGAAGGAACCATCTAGCACTTCTGTGATCTTGAAAATAAATAAATAAATAAATAAATAAGGGCTACCTCTGGAATACGGCATTCAGGGAGGTGTTCGAACAGAAATTGGTTGAGTGACTATTGGAGATGCTGTGGAGGAAATTCAAAGGAATTATATGACCTTTTAAGATGAGAACTTATAAACAGAATCTGTGGAATCATTTTCTCTGTAGGTCACAAAGTTACCTTAAGGGAAAATGGGCTTCAAAATTGGAGAGTTGTTAACACTGATACGTTTTTTTTTATTTGTAGGCATGTTCATTTAAAACATTTTTTTCCCCACTAAACCATGAACACCTCAAAAAGTAGAGGAAATCCATATATATGTATTTCTAGTGTTTAACATAGTTCTTGGCACCTGCAGAGGTGGGTAAATATCAGAGGACAGTAAATATTGAATTAATTAATTAATTAATTGATCTTCGTAGCATTTCTTTCTAAAAGGGTATTGTTAATTCCTAATTTATAGAAGAAGCATCTGAGATTTGGAGAGGTGAATTGATCTGCCCAATCTCTTAGTAAACTAAAGAGCCAGGATTTGAAAGCAGGTAATTAACGCCAACTCCAGGTTGTTTTCCACCATAGCACAGTGGTATTTTTGTGTGTACAAACCTGTGCTAGGAGCCAGAGAAGGAGACTATTAGAGAAGGAAAAGGCAAAGTTTCTGTCTTCAGGGAGACATATCAAGACAGTCAAAAGAGGACAGGGCATGAAAGTATAGGTTTAGATACCTGGGATATAGTTTGTCTACAGGTACAAGAATAGAAAATTGAGAAATCATTATACTAGAGTAGTAATCAGGAAAGAAACCATCACCTCTGATCTCAGTGTCTTGGCTTATTGCTGTTCCCACTACTGGAAAGTTCTCTCCCATTTCCACCTATTAAAAGCCTCTCCAGTCAAAAGGTAGCTTGGTCAAGCAGTCGAAGGTGCAGGATTTAGTAGGCTTTAGTCTCTGTGGAGCCATGGGTTTGAGTCCCACTGCTGCCAATGGCTTTGCATCATCCAGATAAATGATCATCATAGATAAATGATCCTCCGTTCTTTGCAGAAACCTATCCATCCTTCAGGATCTAGCTGCAGGATCCTGTTTGTTTATTTATTCCATCAAATATTTACCTGAATGCTTGCTTTTTTTTAGTAAGTGGTTAGATGGAGAAACTCAGGGATCAATGACCCACATTCCCTGTCCTTATACAGTTTATGGACTATCCAAAAGATAATTGTGATATTTTTATGATAAAATCTGATAAATACCTTGAAGCATCTCCTAGGAAAAAGTATAACTTATGATCACTTCTGTACCTCAGTAGTATATAGCTTGCTCATTTTTTTATAACGTGTATCACTTTCTGCCTTGTAGTTATGATTTTCTCACCTCCTTTATGAGAATGAGAGGATGGGGCAGCATTTTGTACAGGGTGAGGCAACAAGTAGATTCTCAGTAAACGTTATGTAAATTAATAATAGGACATTTAATATTTTTAAAAGGTAAAGTTTGAGTGCTTAATGTCTGCTGGGGATGATTCTGATTACCTAACATATTAATCAGTTTACTCCTACAGCAACCCCAAAGATAAGTGTCATTATTATCACCATGTTATAGATGAGGAAACTGAAACACAGAGAAGTTAAGTAACCTGCCCAAAGTCAGGCAGAAGGTAAGAATAAGAGTTGGGATTTTAGTTCAGGCAGTCAGGTCCCAGAGTCTATGTTCTAAATCACCACACTCTACTGCCTCTTGATGAAGAACAAAAGTAGTTCCTTCCCTGCAAGGGTTCAGGATGTAAGGAGGGAATAACTCAATAGAAGTTGGTGTTGTGCTAGTAATGCAAAGTGCTGTGGGAATACAGGATATTTCTTTTAGCTTGGGGAAGCATAAAATATTATAGATGAAGGGGATCCTTATCTAATAGAATTGTCTTTAACTAATTTCTTTTGATAGTTGTCTAGCCTCTATTGAATATCTTTAGTGCTGAGACTCACTTCTTTTGTTTACAGTGAGAGTAAGGAAGGCCATTTTACCCAGAATGGATGGGCCTGGGCACAGAGGAGGAGTAATAGAGATTTTGACATAGGAGAAAGGATGAATTTATTGGGGTTTGCTCTGTGGATGTTCTAACCTCACATCTAGGAGAGGTTCCCCTGTGCTGACAAAGGCTGGTCTTGCCAAAATTTTGTCCCAATAATGCAGGTATACACACGGTCTGTGATTGAACCACTTCCTGTCACTTCAACTCGGGACGTGGCTACATCTCCCATTTCACCTACTGAAAATAACACCACTCCACCAGATGCTTTGACCCGGAATACTGAGAAGCAGAAGAAGAAGCCTAAAATGTCTGATGAGGAGATCTTGGAGAAATTACGTAAGGAATTTGTCACTTTCTGAACCTTTCTTTGCTTTATGACTGGTCAAGCACAGAGATTTCCTGGTCGTAGGCTTGGTCCATGCAGCTGGCTGGCCATGCTTGGTACCTTAGCCTCAGACTGCTTCTCCACCCTGCCTCTGCACCTATGTTCCCCATCTCACAGCCCTGGTTGGATACTGTGTTAGGATGGGGATGTGGTGAGAGAGTGTAGATAGCTCACTTTGAGGGCAGGGTACCCCTCACCCCTAGGCATGTGTTATAGAGATGACATCTAATGAATTGTCTAGAATGCCATGCTTGAGAAAGACTGAGGACCTAGTGGAAAAGGGCGCTGTGATTGATTATTGATGTTTTGCCATTGACCTAGGAGAAGACAGATCTGCCATCTTGGTTGTAGGAAAAGAGGGAAGGGAAGTTAACATTTTATGTATCAAATGACAAGCAAAATATTTTCTTGATTTTTAAAAAATTTAATTCTCTTATTAACCCTGTGAAGAAAAGTGTTGTGATCCTAATTTTTGCTATTAAGATAATCTGAGGCTCAGGGAGGCTAAATATCCTGCCCAAAATCACACAGCTAAAAAGTGACAGGGCTGAGGTTAGAACACAGTTTTTGTTCCTGTAAGTAGAGCATACTGCCTCTTGCTGTCAAGTGGAAACTTCCATTTTACTTTCTTTAGCTGCCAGAAATGGGGGTATGTTAGGGTAGCTTATTTCTGTGTTTCAGTAAACTGCAGGAGAATTCATATTAGAAGGAAGAACTAGGTTGATCTATGGGCTTGGAAGAATCATTTGACAAGGGCTTTAATTTATTCACTGTGTCTACTTACTTCCAAAAAGGATTCAATGTGACCGACTTGGCGACGTCTGCAAACTGGCATTGCTTTCTGGTTCTCTAGTTCTTCCTGATTAATTTGTATATGACTTTAAAACAAATTTTCACTGTTTTAAAAATTGCCCTTTTCTGGATCCCTCATAAAATGACAAAGTAAGAAAAGCCACTTCCCTAGTCATCTGTTTACTCCTGTATGTAGTCTTCTTCTCTAAACCAGAGTTTTGTTTTGTTTTGTTTTTTTAACAATAACATTTAGAATTATGATTCAGAATTAAGACTTGGCCTGGGAGTTAGGACACTTGAGTTGAAACTTCTGCTCAGCCACTGACTTGTCTTAGGCAATTTTCTACTGTTCTCTAAACCTCATTTTTCTCATTTTTAAAATAGGGATGTTAATACTTGTCTCATTTGCAAATCAAATGAAGTAATATATGTGAAAAGTACCAATTCCTAGTAATTGGGTGTTAATGGAGAGTACAGTGGACCGGGAGACTAAAAATGAAACTCCTAATCTTAGCTCTGACACCAATTTGCTGTGTGACCTTGGGGAAGTATCTTCTTTCCTTCTGTGGGCCTCAGTTTCTCCATCTCTAAAATACAAGTTGTAAAACCCAATGGAAAACCTCTATGTTATTGCGCTTGAAATATCCTTTGTTGTAAACGTCTTCTCTACTTTATCTCTCTGGCTTTTACTTAAAGTAGAAATCAGTCCATATGTTACCTTTCTGAAGCTTTTCCAGTCTTTTTTTTTTTTTTTTTTGGTGCCTCTTTCTGTACCCCTTTGGTATTTATCATAGCAATTATGTTTTCATGGAACTTTATGCTTACTTATCTGTCTCCTCCATGAAATTGACCTTCTAGAGAGCAGGAACTGCCTTGACTGTGTCATATCTCTTCATTCCTAACACAACATATGGCTTGGTGCGTATTAAATGAGTAAATATTTACTGATTGTATTAATTAAAACATGAATGACTTTTAGGAGTTTAGAAATGGAATAGCTTGCTGTGAATCAAAGCAGTCAAGGTGATGAAACTTTTGGTTGGGACTTATGGGGGAAAAACTGAGGGCCTCTTTAGAATGCTTTTTGGCTATTGGAGGTAGTTCTTTAACCCATGCCAACTCCAGGGTTTGGGGAAATGTGGGACCTTTTTTGTATCTTGATTTTGGAAAAAATGATTCATGGTCTCTGTTTCTTTCAAAGGAAGCATAGTGAGTGTGGGCGATCCTAAGAAGAAATATACACGGTTTGAGAAGATTGGACAAGGGTTAGTAGGGGCATTTTCTTTCCCTGGAGAAATGACTTTAAAGTGTGTGTGCTGGCATATATGATTTTGCTTTTGTTTTGCCTCTCATAAACCTTGTTCTTCTTTCTCCACTTCACCCCTCACCCATCTGGAGTTGTTATGTTAGAATGACTTCAGATTTGGCAGAATTGCACTTAATGTGAGAGATGTGCCATTAGCTGACCATGTGGCTAAAAATACCCCTGCAGTGACAGTGAGAGAACGATTTTTTTTCTTAGCACAAAGCCAGCTTCCCAAATTATAACTCTGCTTTTCTGGATGAACCCTGTTTGTCCTAGTACTGAGCTCCAACAGCACTAATATAAAATGGAAGACCCAAACTACAAACCCTTCTACTAGTGTAATAGGACCTATTTTTCTAGGTAGATGCCGGAATATATCCATCTGGCATTCATCCTTCTCTGTATTTTGTATGCTGCCCTCAGTGTAATGAATTCAGCAAATCTTAACTGAGTTCCTATTGTGTGCTAGGCACTATGAATTCAGAGACAATCGGTGCTTTCAAGGACCTCAAGTCAACAGAAAAAGATAGGCAAACAATTGTATAGTCATATGTTGCTTAACAAAGGGGATATATTCTGAGAAGTTCATCCTTAGGCAATTTTGTCATGTGAGCATCATAGAGTGAACACAAAACTAAATAGTATAGCCTACTACACACCTAGGCTATATGATGTAGCCTCTTGCTCCTAGGCTACAAGCCTGTACAGCATGTTACTGTACTGAATACTGTAGGCAGTTGTAACACAATGGTAGTTGTATATCTAAACATAGAAAAGGTATGGTAAAAATACAGCATAAAAGATAAAAAAAAAAAAGGTGTATTTGTATAGGGCACTTACCATGGATGGAGCTTGTAGGACTGGAAGTTGCTCTGGGTGAGTCAGTGAGTGGTGAGTGATTGTGGAGACCTAGGACATTACTGTATACACTACTGTAGACTTTATAAACCCTGTACACTTAGACTGTACATTACATTTATTAAAAAACAAAGTAATTGTGCTATGACGTTATAACTGCTACAGTGTTACTGGGTGATAGGAATTTTTCAGCTCCATCATAATCTTATAGGACCACCATCATATGTGGTCCATTGTTGACTGAAACATCGTTATGTGACACATGACTGTCCTGTGTTTTTAAAGTTTGGCTGTTATTTTGAGTGAAAGAAGCCAGATATGAAAAAGCAGATACTGTCTCATTTGATTTATATGAAATTCAAGAATAGGCACAAGTAATATATGATAATAGAATTCAGAATAGTGGTTATTTCTGGGAGGAGGATGTAGAGTGGGAATAGGCATGAAGGAATCTTTGGGGGTAATGACTGTAGTGTCTTTTGAAAGTGTTTGGCCATTTTTTTGAGTGAAAGAAGCCAGATATAAAAGAGCAGATACTATGTCATTCTATTTATGTGAAATTCAAGAACAAGCAAACTAATGTATGATAATAGAAGTCAGAACAGTGTAGTTATTTCTGGGAGGAGGATGTTGAGTAGGAATAGTCATGAGGGAATCTTTGGGGGTGATCTTGATAGTGAACACATGGGTGTGTAGATATATAAAAATCAAGTTGTACACTTAAGATTTGTGCAAATTAAGTTATACCTCTCTATAAAAAATAAAAATAATGAGATTTCTAAAGACCCACCAAAAGAGATAAAAAGAAACTGAAAAATAAAAATGTCTGGCTCTCAGTGTTAGTGGAATGAAAGCTTTGTTGCTAATGATGTCATTGAAATTTTCTTTTTTTTTTTTTTTAATTATACACCCAAGAATTTCCGAAAATAAGATAAAAGATTGCATAATATAGGAAGGTTATGTTTATACAGCATTCTACAATTCACATCTGTTATTTGCATTTATTGTTTAATCCTCAAAACAACTCTGGGCTTGAGTGGATCTCAGTTTTTTTCTGGTTGCAGTGTTTTTCAGACTAGACATGCTTTTGTGAGTCTGAACTGGTGTAAGGTATTTAACACCTTGAGAAAAAAATTATTTTGCTTACCTCAGAGTAATGTGGGATGGTATTTCCTTTAGGTAGTGAAATTGAGATATTAAGAATATAGCAGAAATGTACATGGACAAGCATAGGCAAGTCAGGTTTCTTCTCTGGACTGGAGTTTCTTCCTGTAAATTTAAGGAAGACAGGTTGTAAATTGAGGGCCTTTTACAAAACTCCAGAACTTTTGTGACTTTTGTTTTGTTTTGTTTTTTAGTTACTGATATATGAGACCTATAAATAGGCAACATCTGCACGATGTTCTTTCCTTGCTTACTTGACAGGTCTGTTAGTGCTAAAGGAAGAATGAAATATTTATTAAGCACCTATGCTGATGTTTCCACGTTGCATAATTTTTAAAATATAAATGCCACACCAATATGATGAATTGGTAATACTGTAATTTTTGCTTGCTTTTATTTCTCCTTAAAGACCTGAAGATTATTATTCTTTTGGACTTGGAATTCATAGTCTAATTATATGTCTATTCAAGTTAGAAATAGGTATTAACCAGTGGGCCTGAGTAGCTTTCTAGAACTTTGTAATCATGGAGACAGTCCCCAAATGTCCAGTGCCCTGAGGCTTGGGCATGTTTGCCCTTTAAGAATAGTACATCTAGTAGGATCAGGAAAGGATGGGGTTAGGAAGACAGATACCAGCTTTATAACAGAAGATAGTTAGGGGCAGGATAATCAGGCAGCGAAGAAATAACTGCCTATGCAAGTCATCCAATCCTTATTTGATAGCCAATATGTTATAATCACAGTTTCCAGGAATGTAGCTAGGGTCCCAACTAGAGAGTGATGGTTAGGGAGCTGGTGACCATAGTTTCTAGCTGCAAGGCATGCTTACACGTGACATTTCCCCCTGGATTGACCTGACTTCTCCAAGAATTATAATCTCAGGGCTTGCCTAGGAAGCAGTCTTGTAATAGAGCAGAATTTTAATTTTCTTCAAATTGCATCATATGTACCCAACATATGGCATGTATAGGTACAAATATGTTTTACAAATTACTTACCTGTAAATACACAGGGTTTATGGTTACAAGCATAAAATGAGGGTTTTAGTTATTTTGAATGGATTTAGTTATTTTGAATGAATTATTACTTTACTAGCATTATTTCTGCATTTCTTTCCCCCTTCTCTGTCTGTATATATGAATGTGTGTATAATTACATACATATGTGTACACACGTGTCTAGTGGGGTCATTCTTACCTTGGGGGTGGGGCAGAGGTACCCTCAGATCTTCTGGGAACATATATGTTTGAAAGAGTATATTTCATATCATTTTATGTTTGAAAAATGAAAACTAAAAACCACTTTTATAATACAAACTACAGAAAACAAAATTTACATATCCTATTGATGGAATAAATGATTGAAAACCGTTATTTTATTTTAAAGGGTCAAAGTGTATCCTATAATATTAGAGCAGGAAGGGTACTTTGAGATTAGATTATTCAGTGTGGTTCTTCAAGTTTTTATAGTTTTTTACTATTTATAGTTTTTTGATGGAAATTTTCACAAAGATAGCATATATAAGTATACAACTCAATGAATTTTCAAAAAGTGAACACGCCCATGTAACCAGTACCCAGATTAAGAAAAAGAATATTACTGATACCCCAAAAGTTCATATTGCTTTTTGATAAATATATAAGACATGCTGGCTCACCCCCAAATACATTCTGAAATTCTCTCCAAGACCCCTTTCTCCTCACCTCTCACCCCCTAGTTGAAAATCATAGATCTAATCTTACCCCTTTTATAGATGAAGAGTTTGAAGCCAGAAGAAATTAGAGCCACTTGCCAAGGGTGATGGAGGCGAAGAGAGAAGCAAGCAGGAACAGGAAATTAATATATATTGAACATCCGTTATATGTTATGCAATTGGCTAAGTACTTTACATGAACTAATCAATTTAAATTATCTTATATTCTCTTATGTCCACTTTACAAATGAGGAAAGTGAAGCTCAGAGAAGTTAAATAACTTTCTTAAGATCCTACCTAGTAGGTACTAGGTAGAAGTAGCAGGTTGGAATTAGGTCTCTTGGCCACTAGAGCCTACATTCTCTTTACTACCACTTAATGTCTTCTTAAGTATGAGAATGGATGATGCAGGGACAGGATTATTTTTACTGCTGTTGTTTTTGACACTCACAGATTGTGTGTAGAACTACATTTGACAAATATCACTTCATTGAACACTATTTTTTTTCCCTCTTTCTCTGCCACCTTACTGTTCAGTGCTTCAGGCACCGTGTACACTGCAATGGATGTGGCCACAGGACAGGAGGTGAGTATCCACCACCCACTGTTGCCCTTTAGTTCTGTTTCTTTTTATTTGGGATTAATTTTTAGCCCATGTTAGGTAAATAGGAACATTTCTAATTTCTTTTTTTTTTTTTTTAATTGAGATGGGGTTGACTCACTCTGTCATCCAGGCTGGAGTGCAGTGGCGTGATCTCTGCTCACTGCAACCTCTGCCTCCTGGGTTCAAACAATTCTCCAGCCTCAGTCTCCTGAGTAGCTGGGATTACAGGCACCTGCCACCATGCCTGGCTAATTTTTGTATTTTTTAGTGGAGATGGGGTTTTACCATGTTGGCCAGGCTGCTCTCAAACTCCTGACCTCAGGTGATCTTCCTGCCTCGGCCTCCCAAAGTGCTGGGATTACAGGCGTGAGCCACTGCGCCCAGCTGGACCATTTCTAGTTTCTTACTGTAGCATACAAGAGCCAAATAGCAGGCTAACATGATGAAACGTAAGGTTTGGACTAAGGTGAAATAGTTAGATGGAGGGAAGTGGATGGATTTGAGAGATACTTAGCAGGTAGGTTCGACAGGATTAGATGATTGACTGAATGTGAACATTGTTTACAAGTGAGTGATATTATTCAAGGAGAAAGGAAAAAGAAATTGGATATTGCCTGATTGCCAAGTGGATAGTTGCTTATACAAGTCTGGGGTTGGGGGAGAAATCTGATCTACAGGAGATTTAAACCATGTCTCTTGACTCCTAATCTACTGGTGCTACCTTTACTTTTCACTGAACAGTGCAATCCTCATTTATTTGGAGGCAGTTTTTTGTCCCTCTCATTTCATTAAGCCATGAGAACTATAGCTAAAGCCTGCTGACCCAAGGTCTTATATTCAGTAGAAGGAAGTTAAGAAGGGAATATAGAGTACTTGAGGTTTCCTTGCATTCTAATATTTGGTTGCAGAGTAGGAGTGTCAGCCAGTGAACTGGATGGCAGCTGCCCCAGAGAAGTTCTTTCTTCAGAGAGTACCGGGACATAGCAATTGAGAGAGGCACCTCTTCTTCCAATGAAAATAGAGTTGGGGTCCTGTAAGGGAGGCTGCTAGACACGTGCTTCTATATTTCTGGTGGTTGAAACCACGTGGCATCCTGGAGAAGTCATGGTTAATAGCGGTAGCATATATCTCACTAGGCTCTCATGAGTTTTTCAAGTGTTAAAGCCAAATATTAAGGCTCCACCTAGGGTAAGCCAAGTTTTAAAAATCATTATTATGGTTAAGGATTTATTCATTGTTCTTTGACGTGAGAATGCAAAGAACTAGATGCTTATAAGCCTTTAGCTACTTATATAACCTTGGGCAAGTCATCTGACCTCTCTGAGCCTGAATTTTATATATTTATAAAATGTGCATGATAAAATGTCCACAAAAGTGTTGAAAGAATTCAGTAAAGCAATACATGTGAAAATGCATTATAAACTTTATGAACTACATATTCATATTTATTCATTTTTACTCATATGCATATATATGTATTCCACAAAGCATTTGCTTTATGCCACACCTTATGCTAAGAATTCTGTGAAAGTTCACAGACATTAAAATCATGTGTAAATGTAAGAGACCGTAATTTCCTTTGTGTACATATAAAAGCCTTGTAATATTGACAGAAATCTGCCTTAAAGTAAAAATAATGGTGAGGAAGGAAGGATAGTATTATCATGACATTTTAATGATGGTGAATATGATGCAGAGATTAAAATAAAGAAGGTTATACCAATCCTGAAAAGAACTCTATGAGGTAGGTAATATTATTTTTTCTTTACTGCTGAGGAATTTGAGGCTCAGGGTGTATAAATAACTTTTTTGCAAAGTTGTATTGTCAGCGATTAGCAGGGACTGGTTTAGAATCTTCGACTCCTAATCCTGTGTGTTTTGGGCTGCAAGAGCACAACAGAGCTGAGGTTAGATACTAGATTCCCTTGTCGTGTTTCTGGCCTCTCAGGCCTCACAGTCCTTGATGGGAGGCAGGTAGGTGATGATGGTGGTTTCTGGAAGGCCTGGAGGCTGGCTGTGTGAGAAGCTGGCCAGAGGAAAGAGAAATTTAAATTCATTGTATGCCTGCCTTGTGGTTACAAAACTATGAATGGAAGGGAGTCCATCAGGGTGGCTAATGCAGTGTGGTCAGGAAGGCTTCATTTCCTGCCCCAGGGAGAATAAATCTTTAGTGGAGTCAGCAGGATGCTCTCGGTCTTTGTGAGTGCGTGCTTATTGGGGGTTATCCAGCTGAGAAGGGCAGACCTATTGTCTCACGTATAGGAAGAATGTTAGTGCTGGGAAGTCTTCCAGTTACAGATCAACAATTATTTTTCAAGCATGTTTTTAGAGAGAATGTGTATAATAGAAAGAACAGACTGGAAGAGCCTTTGGAGTCACATGGACCTGTGGATATTGATTATGACCTTAGAATTTTCTTGAGTCTTCGCCTCAATTTTCTTACCTGAAAATGCAGATCATGATTCTTACTTTGCAGGGCTGTTAGGTTTTACTGTGATAATATAAGTAGGGCATCTAGCACAGAGCCTGGCACACAGTTGGTATTTGATAAATAGTAGTGGTGGGAGAGTGGTTGCTGTGCCAAGTACTTATTAAATGATGTTATTACTATGATTACCATTTTCATTATTGTCTAACTTTATTGCTTATTTACTTATATGTGAGTAATGCATTTGCCATTGTCTCACTTGGTATTCAAAACAATCTTGAGAAGAGGGGAATCAAGGTTGAGATTATCTTCAACGTATTGATGAAGAGACTGAGGCTCAGAGAGCTTGTGATTGGTCAAGGTCAGTAAGTGACAGGTCCTGAGCTTAAGTTCTCAGAGTTCAAGTCTAGTTCTTTTTCTGTTATAGGAATGCTATATCCTAGCCTATATAGGTGGGGTCTGATAGATGAAGGACACAGCCTAGCCCATAGTTAGTAGCTATTGAAAAGGGCTCCCAGCTGGGCACGATGGCTCACGCCTGTAATCCCAGCACTTTGGGAGGCCGAGGCAGGCAGATTATGAGGTCAGGAGTTTGAGACCAGCCTGGCCAACATGGTGAAACCCTGTTTCTACTAAAAATACCAAAATTAGCCAGGCGTGATGGCGGATCCCTGTAATCCCAGCTACACGGGAGGCTGAGGCAGGAGAATCGCTTGAACCCGGGAGGCGGAGGTTGCTGTGAGCAGAGATTGCCATTGCACTCCAGCCTAGGCAACAGAGCAAGACTCTGTCTCGAAAGGAAAAGAAAAAAGAAAAGGACTCCCATGTCCTGCCCCAGCCTCCATGTTAGCCTCTTTATGCCTCTCCTTCCTTGCTGCTGCCAGCAGTGACCACTGTGAGGTTCATAAGCAGTGTCCCATCCTCCAAGATGGCATGAGTAACTCAAAACACATTCTTCTAGCTCCAGTCCTTAATGTGTGTTATAAGGGCTAACTATACTTAATATCTTTAGATCAACATGTTGCTTTTCAAACGTTAGGAAAAACTAATGCTCAGCTGTTATAGACAGCTGCCACCAGACTAGAAGCTTGACCTAACAGGAAACTCCACTCCAAAGCAATTTTTCCTTACTTGAGGTAGGGAATGGAGGTGGTCAGATTTTTTTACAGAATTACTTCTATTCTTAATGATTAACTTGGTCTCTGCAAAAGACTGTCCATTCTTGACTTGAAGAAATAATAGAGTCAGGGATTTGTCACATAAAAGTTTGAATCATTCCTTCTTTATACTTCTTGCTGCTTCTAGAAAGACAACTTCGTTCTATTAGATGTTCGTGTTCTTGTCCACTAAGCAGGAAAAAGGCAAAATATCTCTAGAGAATGAACACTTAGAAAATAATTTAAAGTATACTCCTATGGGATAGAGGAGCCCATTGCCATTTTTTTGTTGTTTTTATTTAAAAACAAAGTACTGACCAACCTATTGACTTCTCTCTTGCCCTCTTTCTACAGACATTTCTTGAGCACCAACTCTTATGTGTGTAAAGGCCTGTGTTTGGCATTGGGGTTCTGGGCTTTCAGTCAAGCCCTCAAACTTCTTGATACACTACCCCTAACTAATCATTACACATGATAGCAAGTTGTAAGTTCCATAAAAGAGGGATAAATATGATCTTATAGGGCTTTAAAGAAGGGAAAAGGCATATTGGGTTTGGAGAATGAAGTTTCCTTTGGCCGGATACAAAGCGTAAGTAGCTTTTGAATGTATGGAAATGATACAGGCTGTTCCAGATGAAGAGAAGATTCTGAACAAAGGGAGGGGAACTAGATACCAGGGAGAACATGGAGTGTTCTCCATGAACACTCCTCTGTGAAGGAATAGAGTTGGAAGTAAAGTAGGGGCCAGATCATGAGAACTTTGAATGTTGTACTGAGAAACATTTCTAGGCAACCAGGAGCCATGTAAGTTTTTGAACAAGGTTATCAAATGTGTACTGTGGGGGAAAATTAATCTGGCTACATGTACAGGATAACTTGGCATCCCTTTTGAGGGTTCTAATCCTGATTTTGCTGTTGAATAGCTATGTATGCAAGTCACATCCTCTCTGAAACACAGTTTCCCCATCTGTTGAATCATTAGTAATATTTAGCACGCAAGGTGTCTTTGCAGATTAAATGAAATAACAAATTTGAGAACACCTTATAATAGTACCTTACATATAGAAGGAATTGATACCAAGTACCTTAGAAACTAAAGTATACCTTATATTCATGTTGTCTGGAAATTTATTATTTCTATAGATAGAACTCTCATCCTCCTTTTCTATTCTTTCTTGACCTGGTCAACTCTGATTTATCTTTCTACACCAGGTTCAGAAAGTCACCTCTCCCTTTATGAAGTCCCTATACTTGGCCAGATTGAAAGAGTTCTTGGCTTTTGCTGTATTCTGTGTTTTGCTAGCATTTTATATGAACCTCTGTTATAGCATCTCTTTTCTGTTGTGACTTTTTAAAAGTATTTTTCTACACCAAAGTTTGATTCTGAAACTTTGGTGTATATCACAGTGACCTGGAGGACTTATTACATCACATAGTTTCTGATTTAGTAGATTTGGGGTGGGACCCCAGGTTTTTATTTCCAACAAGCTCCCAGATGATGATAATGCTGGCTTGAGACCTCACTTTGAAGACCACTGGTCTACATAAACAAATTGTGAATTACTCGAGGGCTAAGACTGTATCTTACTCATCTTTGTTTCCTGAGTACTTAAGGTCTGGTACTTAGTAGGTGCTTAATAAATGGGAATGACTATGGTTGCACATTGAATATACTCTGATTTCAGGTGGCCATTAAGCAGATGAATCTTCAGCAGCAGCCCAAGAAAGAGCTGATTATTAATGAGATCCTGGTCATGAGGGAAAACAAGAACCCAAACATTGTGAATTACTTGGACAGGTATGGAGTGGTGGGTCCCATCAGAGGGATAGGGCCTTTGGGACTGACTGGTAGACTGTCAGAGAAGAGGGCGGTGCCAGCACTCAGAACTGCCTCCATTTAAGAGTCTTCTGTGATGCTGAGCTCTCTGTAGGTGACCCTGTGTAATGCTGGACACCTTTATTGCTGGGAAATCCTTCTGTATTAGGCTGAACTCTACCACCATGTAGCTTGTAACAGTTGATCCTATTACTGTTTGTTTTGCCTAAGGGAAACCTACCAGCCCATCTGCCTGAGTCAAACATCTAGGTCCTTAACTCATTTTATATCCCAAGTCTTTCCTTATTCTGCTCATCCTCCTGAATAACTGCTTGTTTGTTTATGTTCTCTTAAAATGCAACGTGCAGAACTAGATGTTTCATTTGAGATCTGACCACTACGGAGAGAGTGGGACTCTTTCTAAACTCAACACAGCTTAATGATTTCATTCTTGTTTTATCTTTTAGGATGTGTGCTTTGACTCCTAGTAAGTTTGCAGTCAACTAAAATTTCTGATTTTTTTTTTTTACATAGCTTGCATTAAACTGGAAATACAGAGCTTTTTCACTATCTTCATTAAGTCCCATTTTTATTGTTTTAGCCCATCATTCCAGCTCATCAAAATTGTTTTTCAAAATAGTAAGAGTGGTTGTATATAATATTTGTATTGTGCTTTATTTTGTACTAAGCACTTTCACGAACAGTATCTCATTGTGAGGTAGGGTTTTTTATCCATATTTTACAGACGAGGAAACTGAGGTTTATAGATGTTAATAACTTGTCTAAGAGTAGTAAGCCATAAAACAGCAAAGCAGTGTTTTGAATTTGAATATTCCTAGCACCAATATCAATGCCCTTTCTATTATATCAGGTTCTTTTCTCTGATACCTGAACAACAAAAAAAAAGTTAAGCTTCTTGCCCAGGGTTCAGAGACATCATAGGTGGAGGTGAAATTGGACTATATCTTGGGCTCTAATTTCTTTACCTCTTATATTGCATGACCAGCTACCTCTTCCTGTTACTGATAGATTTCATAAGGGTGCCTTCTTATTCTGCATCTAAAACACTAGTAAGCTTCAGTTTCCTTAAAAAGGAAAAGAGTTGAACTTTGACATTCCCAACACTGTAAAGAATAAAGCCTTTTTCTTTGAGATGGTTATGTCTCCTTAATGTGGGTCCTGACTGGCTCTGAAGAATCCTCTGAAAGTTAGTACCTTATCATCTCTTTCAGAACTTATTATACAGAGAATATAGCTCGTGCAAACTACTGAAGGCGACAGGGGTTTTAGATTTTGGCTCAGGATATGGAAAAATGAAAGCTGTCAGTAAGGGTATGGCCTGTCTCACAAAATGGTGAGTTACCCATCAGTGGATGCATCTAAATGATAAGACCATGTTATTGAAGGAATTTGTGTTCTGGGAGTAGGATTAAGAGACTTATAGATTTGTTTATTAATCATACCTTTACTGGTATTCCCAGAGGCTTTTACTCTGGAAATCAGAAGTAAATAATGCTATCTTTGCCCTCAAATAGTTCCTGGTCTGGTATAGAAAAAAGTACACTCTGTAAAATCATAGAAGAGGATCTTAACCTGAGCATTCAGTGAAGGTGTTACAAATGAGGGTCTGTGGTTTTTGTGAGATGTCCCAGGGGGAACTCCATCACATATGGATGAACTCATGGGCAGAACCCTCAGGATGTAATCACCTTCCAAAGGCCCCACCTCCTAATAACATTAGTGATTAGATTTTCAACATATAACTTGTGAGGGACACAAACATTCAGACCATAGCAGTTCAAATCCCCATAGTCTTCTCTCTCAAAAGAGATTGTTGAAGAAACACTTAGTCTGTCATGTTTATTTGTCATGGACATTTAAAAATTACAAATCAGAACACAAAGTTTTATGGAAAGAGCAGTCGATTAGTAGTCAAAAAAATAGGATTCAAATCTTACCCTTTGCTTGAGTGCATTTGTTAAAATCTTCCAACAGTCTCCACATCTGTCCAGCAGTATTCCCAATATCAGGATGAAGATAAGATGATACCACACAGTTCAAGCCAGTGCAAGGAATGTTTTTTTCCCAATCCAGCGTCTATGTCCAAGACTGGCAGAAGACTTTAGGGCTCTAGGCTCACCTTGTTTTTATTTGTCCGATTCTATAGTAAGGAAACATTGACCAGATAGGCTAAGTGACCTTTTTATTTATCATGTAATAGGGTTGAGTGATCCAACCTCTGAGTGAAGCCATCACTTCTAACTCGTGTGAGCCCACAATCTCTCCGGGGATACCTTACTAAATGGTAGCCTTGGCTTATCAGACGGCTTTGGCTCCGTAAGCCGTTGCTAAATTCATTCCATTCTTGAATCACAGACACTCAAAGTAGAGGTCAATTGTCAGCATAATGACTATGTATACAACACTTTGCAGCTTTTAAGGGACTCATAAACATTATTTCATTTAATATTTTTAGTTATCTTTTATTTCATTCATTGATTTATTTAGTAAATATTGGCATTTGCTGTGCTGGACTCTGGGGATAGAGTCTTAAACAAGACCCAATACTTGGTCTCATAGATCTCAGATCTGGTAGGACTCTCTGGGAGGGTTAGTAGCTCTCTCTTCTTTGGGTAACATGGACTGTAAATCCTATCATTGTAAAATGTTTGGATGCTTCTAGAGGGAATCATGTCAGTCTTTCTAATTTTAGAATGTCTTCCTTTGTGTTGTGATGAAATGCAATTTTATTGTATCACTTTAAGCTAGTGATCTTAGTTCTGCCCTTTGGGGTTTCACAGAACATGTATGCTTGGTTTTCTCCAGGAGCATCCTTGAGAAATTCAAAGTTAGTGATTTTGTCCCCCAGATTCTGCTTTTCCCCAAAGTAAAGAATCTTTTACTTTACTTTGTGCTAAGACGTAGTTTCACTCTGTGTATATGCTTAGCCTTTGAAACCCAGTGCCATGGCTCAGAGTACTCTGATTGTTCCCTCTCACCCTTTATCTGTATTCCTGCAGTTACCTCGTGGGAGATGAGCTATGGGTTGTTATGGAATACTTGGCTGGAGGCTCCTTGACAGACGTGGTGACAGAAACATGCATGGATGAAGGCCAGATTGCAGCTGTGTGCCGTGAGGTAAGGCCAAGGGCCAAGCAGTCTTGGGTAAAAAGCTGCCTCCGTATTCCTGCCTCCTGAAGTTCCCTACCCAGTGAGATCTCAGTCTGGGCTCTGTGGAATTGGTAGAAATTAGTGCTGACACTCCTATCATTCCTGTATTGTACCTGTGTTTGTCATTTCTATCACCATGATTTTTTTTTCTTTAAAGATAACTTTATTCTACCCAATGTAGAAAAATTATAAAGTACTAGATAGTATATATTGTAAAAAGTCACTCGTAATTCCAGTCTTAAAGATAACCACTCTAAGCACATTATTATATATTCCTTTATCTCTTTTATCTGGGCATATATTTTAATCATTTTTATTCTGCTTTCTTGCTTTATTTTTGTGCTATAAGGAAAATAAAGCAGAGTAAGAAGGTAGTGATGGAGGAAGTTCTATTTTAGACGGAATACTCAGGGAAGGTTTTGCTATGGATTTGAGTAAACATCTGAATGATATATAAAAGCAAGCCAGCAAAAATCTAGGGTAAAATACTTCCAGGAAAAAAAAAAAAGGTCAAATAGATATTCCCTTTCTCCTCATTGCGATTAAATGTCTAGAATCGATAATATGCTGATGTAAGAGGAAAAAAAGCCCTCCAGAAGGCCTGGACAGTGTCCTCAGGGAATAACCACATTTCATTTCCATTAGAGCAAGAAGATGAAGGGAATATTCAGAGACATTGAGGATATTGGGTGTTTTGCTGATGACAGACTAGAACTTTCTGGTGGCCCAATAATGCAAAAGTAATTGCAGTTTTTGCCATTACTTAAAAAAAAAAAATGCCAAAAACCACAATTGCTTTTGCACCAACATAATAGAAAAGTTAGGAAATTAGGGGAAGCATAGAAGATGAGATGAGGTTCAGAATTTTGTGGGGATGAGTATAATAGTGTGATTGGGGTTTGATGGTACAAGATCTGAAGGCATACTGCTGAAATTATGTAGTTACATATTTAATCAGTGTTAAGAAAAATAAAATGTGAAATCAATACTGCCCTAGAAAATATGGTCCCCTTTGCAAACAACTTTGGGATCTAGAATATTCACAAGTAATTGGAATTAATTAATGGAATTAATACCAGGCTGGGATTCTTAGGGGTTCTGACTTTTTTTCCTTGTTCCACTACTAATGCAGTATTTCTTAACCTTCTTTTCATTGTCTCCTTCTTAAGGAGCCTTTTTCCTAATCATACTCCCTGCCATGAAATTTTAATATCACAGATACATAGGTCAACTGTTTACATACTATGGCCCTTTGGAGGGTCATAAACCATTGTAATACCTAAGATTTTTTTCACCACACCTGCTTACCCTCAGGAACCAAGTTTCACTAGTGGAGAATACATACATACATATACTTTGGGAAATCATTTTGCCTCATTATTAATCTATAAAATGGAAATCGCAACATTCACACTGTATATACCTTAGGGGTGCTATATGGATGAAAAAGCACTTGGAAAAAAATGTTAATGTTGTATAATAGATGATATTACTATTCTTCAGTTATAATAGAGATCATCTCCTTTTTAAAACATCTTTACTGAGATATAATTCACCCATTTAGAGTATATAATTCACTAGCTTTTAGTATGTTCATAGAGTTGTACAACCACCATCATAATGAATTTTAGATCCTTTTTATCACTCCAAAGAGGAAATTAATATCCATTAACAGTCAATCCCCATGTCCCCTGCCCTGACTCTCCCAGCCCTATGTAACCGCTAATCTATTTTCTACCTCTGTAGTTTCCCTGTACTGGGCATTTTATATAAATGGAATCATGTAATATTTGTTCTTTTGTAATTGGCTTCTTTTACTTAGCTAGCATTGTGTTTCAAAGAATCATCCATTTTGTAGCATGTATCAGTACCTCATTCCTTTTTATTGCCAAGTAATAGAATGGACATTTGAGTTCTTTCTGTTTTCAGCTGTTATAAAAAATAAAAAATTACTCTATGAACACTTATATACCAGTTTTTGTGTGGAGGTATGTTCTCATTCTCGTGGGTATATAACTACAGGTGGATTGCTGGTCATATGACAACTCTGTACTCAACTTTTGAGGAACTGCCAAACCATTTCTGTAGTAGCTGTACTGTTTTACACTCCTGCCAGCAATGTATGAGGTTCCAATTTCTCAAGATCATTCTTTTTCATCATAATTTCTGACATCCTGAGATGTCTCCACCCTTGTAAGAAGAGCAGCTCTTACATTTTCAGGGAAAACCCAATTCTGGATATTGTTTTATTCTTAATTTAGCCATTGGTATATTCTTAGAAAGTAAAGTATTAGGTTAGGACCATTTAAATAGTATTTTCCTGTTCACTTATATCTTTAGTGTTTTTTAATTGGTAGAAGTTTCTAAAAAATTAGTTTTGGGTCAATGAAAGCAAATTATTGATTTAGTAGAAAAGCTGAGATGATCTCATCTAATTCCCACATTTTATAGATGGGAGTCCAGAATTATATAGTTAGTGGGGTAGCAGCAGAACCAGGCATTTTAATTGTACCATTGTGTCTCTTTGTTACTCATTCTGCCTGTGTACCATAGGTGTTTTCCAAGGTTCTTCTCTTTCTCTTATACCCTTTGCCAGGTTCAACCATTTCTGTAACTTAAACAAAAATCATCTCTTCCCAAATGACTTGTAAATATTTACCTCTGTATGGAAACTAAGAGTTATAAATGCAGTTGCCTACTGGACATTTGTCTTCAGATGTCAAATTCAGCATATCCAAAATAGTACAAAATATCTCCTCACCAAAATAAGATTATCCTGCTAACTTACTGCTTCTAGTATCACTTCCATATGTCTGCTTCCTCAAATATGACCCTTATTTGTTGTTTTCCTCCAGTCTGTCATTATAAGATCCTTTCCATTTTTCTTCAGTAATTTCTCTTGGGCCTTAGGTTCTTTACCAAGGATCTAATTAAAAAAAAAAAAAAACCATTGGAGGAACTCCTTTACTTAAAAAACTATTTTAAGGTGAAAGGCAGCATGAAGTGTTAAAAGAATGTTTAGCTGGGAGATGGAAGACTTGGTTCTAGATATGGCTCTGCGAGTGATTTGGGGCAAGTCCTTTTACTCGTTGGGGCCTTACTTCCTTTATTTTAAAGTGAAGAGGTTGAATTAGTTGATTTTCTATTAAGTCTTCTGTATTATATGTATGTCCTTTCTTTCTCCCCCTGCCCACACCACTTCAATAGTGTCTGCAGGCTCTGGAGTTTTTGCATTCGAACCAGGTCATTCACAGAGACATCAAGAGTGACAATATTCTGTTGGGAATGGATGGCTCTGTCAAGCTAAGTAAGTAGGAGCCTTAGGAATGATAATACTTCTCTCCCTGTGGGGCCCTGTCTCTTGTGAGATGGTCATCATATAATAGTAACCACGACACTCACCAAAGGGTCTTTATTATTTCATGGGATATGAGGGCTGTTTTATATTCTTCTATATTAATCATAGGATATCATTTCATTATTTTTTCATTCATGTATACATTTAACAACAACCACAAAAAACTTGGCTGAATGCTTACTCTGTGCTAGGTCCTGTGATGGGCACTGAGAGTACATTTTCCCTACCTTCTCAATCTAGTATGGAAAACATTTAATAGATAATTAGAAAAAAGGGTTTTGCGTAACTTCTTTCATTCAGTTATTCAGCAAACTTTTATTGAATGTCTAGTACATGCCAGTCCTAGGGATATGAGGACAAGTAAGAAGATATAATCCGTACTCTCAAAGACTTCCTAATTTAAATAAATTTATAATTGCAATATAATGTGAAAACCACGGCAGGTAGAACATTTTGTTCAAAGGTGTAAAGACCAGTAGACCAGAAAAACAGGCTATGTTATGGGTGGATGGGCAGTTTATGGAAGGACTGCTAGCAGCCCTGGGCCTGGGGCATAAAAACAGGGCCATGCTTAGTCATAGGTGACTGGGGTTTAAATCAAGGACTCGTGCCCAAGAAATAAGGCAAGGACCTCGTTGCCATATTTGAGAATATGAGAATGGTTTTTCAAGAACAAAGCAAAACTGGGACAAGCAATCAAGACCAAAATGGGCAGCTTGGACTTTAACACTAAGTCCCCTGGTTTAAGGAGAGATAGGAGGCCAGAGATGGTGTTTCTTATATTCCTCCTATTTCTCTTCAGGGTTCAATAGGAAATAGGCTAGGAGCTAGACATGAAGGTGGCAGTCAAGTGACTTTGGAGAGACAAAGGATAGCAGAGCTGGAAGCCAGGCAGATCTTGTCACCTACGTGTAGGCACACAGTCAACACTTACTGAAGTGAGTGTATATCCTAAATGTATGTTCTTTCTCTTATTTTTCTTTTCTAGCTGATTTTGGATTCTGTGCACAGATAACCCCAGAGCAGAGCAAACGGAGCACCATGGTGGGAACCCCATACTGGATGGCACCAGAGGTTGTGACACGAAAGGCCTATGGGCCCAAGGTTGACATCTGGTCCCTGGGCATCATGGCCATCGAAATGATTGAAGGGGAGCCTCCATACCTCAATGAAAACCCTCTGAGAGTGAGTGTTACCATTCCTATTTCAATTTATTTGGGCTGTTGTCTCTAGTCCCAGGAAATAAGAATCCAGGCTATTCTCTATGGCTTTCAACCTGGAGATCCCTTTTCTGGAGACAACTAGTCACTGTTGAACTTAAAATATAAATGGTCAAAGAAAAGGAATATTAGAAGTCACTCATTCATTTATTCAACAACTATCTGAGTCCCTTTCAAGTGCAAGAAACTATTCTAATGAAAATAAAATAAATTAATATGTAGTAACAGATGGTAAATGCTGTGAGAAAAAGCAAAGTAAGGAAGTTAAGAGTAATGGAGGAAGAGGTGTGCTATTTTAGAGCAGAGAGGGAAGTTCTGTCTCGTAAGTTATTTTATTCTGCAGAGTTGGGAAGTCATTAGAGGGTTTTGAGCTGAGGAGTAATGTGATCTGATTTATGTTTTAAACAGATCATTTTGGCCGCTTTTATGGAAAATAGATTGCGAGAGACTGTTGTAATAGTTCAGAGTGGTGGTGTCTTGGTAGGAGTGGAAGTGAGAAGTGGTCAGACTCAGGAAATGTCTTGAAGGACTAGCTGACAGGATGAACTGAATATTAGAGAAAGAGGAATCAGCAATTACTACACGATTTTTGGTCTGAATTGCTGAAAAAATTCAGTTGCCATCTGTTGAAATGGTGAAGACCATACTTAAGTTGGGTAATTAAGAGTTGGTTTTGAATGTGCTGATTTGAAGTGTTAATTAGACATTTAAGTGGAGCTGGGAGTAGAGTTTGGCTTAAGAGTCTGGAGTTCAAGGGTGAGGGGTCAGGACAATAATCATAAATTTATTAGTAGATAATATATAGTTGGTATTTAAAATCAGAGGTAGATGAGATCACTCACCTAGAGAATGAGTACTGTTAAAGAAAAGAGATTTGAGTACTGAGCTCTAGGTTATTCCACTGTTTACAGGTTGGAGGAACTAGCAAAGTAGACCAAGGAATGGCCTTTCTAGTGTGAGAGAACAGAGAAGTATCTTGGAGGTGAAGTGTCCTGGAGATGAATAGAACAGTGTGCTTCCTGAAGGAGGAGGAGGGTAGATTATGTGTCAAATGTGATTGATAGGTTAAGATGAAACTGAGAAATGAACATTGGATTTGCCAATGTAGAGGTTCTTAATGACCTTAACAATCAGTTGTCAGTAGAGAGATGGGGATGAAAGTCTAATTAAATTCATGAAAGTGGAAGAAGAGGACGTTGAGATGGCATGTATAAACAGGTTTTTTTTCTCTTAAAGGAATTTTGCTGGGAAGGGTAACAAAAATGGAACACTCTCTTAAAATGGAGTCAAGGGAGGGTTTTTCTAAAAGATGTCTGTGTGCTAATGGGAATGATTTAGTGGAGAGGAGGAAAATGGTCATGTACAAAAAGGAAGTGACAACTATAGAAGTGATATCCTTAAGTCGATGAGAGGGGTTCGATCAAGTACTGAAGTAAAGGACATTAGATTAGCATGGACAATTTATCCCTTGTAACAGAGCATATCAACACAGATGCAAATAGGTTGGTAATCTTTGTGTGGGCAAATGTGAAATTTATTCTGATTGCTTTTATTTTCTCATTTATTCCCACCTCCCATCTAGTGCAGGAGTTCCCTGTGCACTGTTGCTGGTAGGTGGTCATCTACATGCTCATGTCATCCTTGGATATCTCTGATTATTGGAAATTGCTTCAGTGCACCAAACTGAAACTACCTTCTGTAGTTTCTATTCTTTGGTCCCAGCTTTGCCTCTGACTCCACATGCAACATATTCTTCCCTGCCTTAGAATGGCCTTGCAGAGATTTGAAGATAATAATTGCTGGGATATGTTGGAAACAAGACAGAGTGATCCTAGACACACACACACACACACATATTTTTTTTTTGAGACAGAGTCTCACTCTGTCACCCAGGCTAGAGTGCAATGGTGTGATTTCAGCTCACTGCAACTTCCACCTTCCAGGCTCAAGCGATTATCCTGCCTCAGCCTCCTGAGTAGCTGGGATTACAGGCATCTTCCACCATGCCCAGCTAAGTTTTGTACTTTTAGTAGAGACCAGATTTCGCCATATTGATCAGGTTGGTCTTGATGGTCTCGAACTTCTGACCTCAGGTGATCCACCCACCTCAGCCTCCCAAAGTGCTGGGATTACAGGAGTGAGCCACCACGCCCGGCCCTAGACATATCTTTTTATGTTTCTGTACCTTATTTGTGAAGTGAGGATGATAATTCTTGCCCAGAGTTAATTGTGGCCATTAAATTAGTGCTTATGTAAGTACTCTTTGAATTAAGTGCTGACTGATTGTAAAGATTTGGTCTTACTGTGTTTTTCTTTACCTTTCCCAGGAGATGCTTCATTTAGGGGACCAAGGTGGCAACAGTTTTCACTTATATTTAATATTCCTTTCCTGCTAGAAGAGATCAGTTCTTGGATGACTGAGGTGAAGGCACCAGGAATAATTTCTGCCAGTAGCTGGGCAGATGTTTCAACAGGCTAAATGGATAATAAACCCTTCAGATGTGTAAGCAAGAATAATAATAAAGCCGGGCATAGTGGCTCACATCTGTAATCCCAGTACTTTGGGAGGTTGAGGCAGGCGGATCACTTGAGTCTAGGAGTTCGAGACCAGCCTGGCCAACATGGTGAAACCCTGTCTCTACTAAAAATACAAAAAGTAGCCGAGTGTAGTGGTGGGCACCTGTAATCCCAGCTACTTGCGAGGCTGAGGCAGGAGAATCGCTTGAAGCCAGGAGGTGGAGGTTACAGTGAGCCAAGATCTTGCCACTACACTCCAGCCTGGGCGACAGAGCGAGACTCTGTCTCAAAAAAAAAAAAAAAAAATAATAATAATAATAATAAACCCTTAGGTCTGTAACATATTTCGTAAGTTTACAAAGTACTTTCAAATACACTATCTTATTTTTACAGATATGTGAGATGGGCATTATCATCATCCTTACTTTACAGATAGGGAAGTTGCACATAGTCTCATGGCCTTTAAATGTTCAGCCTGATCCTTAGGTCATACTCTTTCCAGTATATATACACAGCTGCTACTTTGCATCCTAGAGCATAAAGCAGCTGACCATATTTCTAGAATGTGTATATGGAGAACAAGAGAGAGCCTCAGTTGGAGTTCAAGGTGATTCACCATTTTTATTGCCAGGCCTTGTACCTCATTGCCACCAATGGGACCCCAGAACTTCAGAACCCAGAGAAGCTGTCAGCTATCTTCCGGGACTTTCTGAACCGCTGTCTTGAGATGGATGTGGAGAAGAGAGGTTCAGCTAAAGAGCTGCTGCAGGTAACTGTCCCTGTGCAGGGAAGCACCTAATTCAGGGAATCACTAAACCAGGCCTTTTTTACTTCATGTTTGTCTGTAAGGTACTGGATATTATAGAACTAGGCTTCTCTTTTACCATTTCCTACCCTCACTCTGTTCCTACTGCTCTAACTTTTATCCCTGGGGCTTTGCTTATTTATTTTCTTAGCCTCTTTCTTGGCCTGTTAAAACTCTACACATTCTCCTAGGCTCAGTTTACAATCATTTTCTGAGCACCTATTGAGCTTTGCTTGTAGCTTCCTTCCTTCCTTCCTTCCTTCCTTCCTTCCTTCCTTCCTTCCTTCCTTCCTTCCTTCCTTCCTCCCTCCCTCCCTCGCTCCCTCCCTCCCTCCCTCCCATCCTCCCTTCCTCCCTCCCTCCCTTCCTCCCTTCCTCCCTTCCTCCCTCCTTCCTTTTCCTTTCCTTTCTTTCCTTTCTTTCTTTTCTTCTTCCTTTCCCTTTCTTTTCTTTCCTTTTCCTTCCTTTCCCTTTCCTTCCTTCCTTTCCTTTCCTTTCCTTTCCTTTCCTTTCCTTTCCTTTCCTTTCCTCTCCCTCTCCCTCCCCCTCCCCCTCCCCTTTCCCTTCCCCCCTCCCTTACTCTCACCTCCCCACAGGGTCTCACTCTGTCACCCGGGCAGGAGTGTACAATGGTGTGATTTTGTCTCACTGCAGTTTTCCTCTCCTGGGTTCACTCAAGTGATCTTCCCACCTCAGCCTCCCAAGTAGCTGGGACTACAGGTACATGCCACCATACCGGGCTAATTTTTTAAAAAGTTTTTTGTAGAGACGCGGTTTTGCTGTGTTAGCTAGGCTGGTCTCAAATTCCTGGGTTCAAGCGATGTGACCACCTCGGTTTCCCAAAGTGCTGGGACTACAGTTATGAGCCACCATGCCCGGCCTGCTTGTATCTTTCATTAGCACATCCTTTGTTCTGTTTGAATTAGTCTGGCAGAGTTTGTTTGAGTCTTGTTGAGAAATGGCTCTCTGACATCCAAATCTTACGCAAGTTATATTTTTGCTGGGATTAGCTCAAAGGATACATTTTTAGCAAAGGAACATACGTTTATTTTATTTTATTTATGTTTTATTTTTTGAGACAGGATCTCTGTCTGTTGCCCAGGCTGGAGTGCAGTGGTGCAGTCATGGCTCACTGCAGCCCCAGCCTCCCCAGGTTCTGCTGATCCTCCCACTTTAGCCTCCAGAGTAGGTGGGACTACAAGCGTGCACCACCATACCTGCCTAATTTTTATATTTTCTGTAAAGACAGGGTTTTGCCATGTTGCTCAGGCTGGGCTCAAACGATCTGCCCGCTATAGCCTCCCAAAGTGTGGAATTACAGGCATGGCATGAGCCACCATGCCCATCCATGGAACATAAGTTTAGAAGATAATTAGTGAGTATGGCTTTTGGAGTCTATACTTTCTTCACTGGAAATCCTCAGATAATGGCAATGATACTCTACTTGTTGAGAGTGAGATTTTGCCAGTTTGTGGAGAAACCCGGAGTCAGGGTTTTACCAGGCCTTTTATACTCCCACCCCCCTAATCCTGATAATTTTACATGGTTGAAAAAATTGCCTTTAGCAGGCCACGTCATTTGTATTTAACATATTTGTTTCCAGTACAATTTCTTATAACAAGTGTTCTTTTATTGTATTGCCCACTAGTGATTTAATAGTAAGTATCATGTGCAACTTTATGAAGGCATGCACTGTCATTTATTTTCGTATTATAAAGCCCAGGAGTGACAGAGCAGGGCAGGGCAGGGCAGGACCTAGCATACTGCCCTGTGTTAATTATGAATCTTTCCTACTGGATTATAACCTCTATTTTATTAATCCCTGAGTTTCTTGTTTTACCTAGAACCTGACTTAGGATAGGTACTCAAAAAATATTTATTGAATTGAATGAAATTGCTGGAAGAACCTACATTGGAATATCATCCTCTGGAACATATTTATCATCTCTTTGTAATTGAGGTTACTGATTATGGAGTACTGGCCTATTAGATATGAGATCTGGGTTCTGCCAAGTGTAACCCATTAGTCTCTAGTATCTGTTGGGACTAAAAGTCTCTTAGTACAATGTAGGACCCCTTTTGCTGTTCATGAGAGTTGTATTCTGCAAACTGTAGGCACTGGGAAATGTGTAAATACGATATGCTAAGCCTATGATTAGTAAAGATACCATTCTTAATTAAGTACCAAACTATAGTTCTTGAAAGGTTAGTGCCCTCTAAAGTTTTCTTCCTGATACAGTAATATAACTAGTAATAAATGCATTATATTGAATCTTTACCATATTTTAGGCACTAAACACTTTATATATTTAGGCACTAATAAGCACTTTATATATTGTCCTTCACAACAACTCTATGAGTTATAGGTTCTGTTATTCTCATTTTTACAGATGAGGAAACTGAGGTTTCAAGTATTTAGTAACTTTTCCATGATAGCTGATATGTGGCAGATCCAGGATTTCAGCCTGTTTGGCTCCGAAGTGTGTATGCTCTTGGCCACTGCTCTTACAGGCTCAAAGAGTATCACAACTGGAAAGCCCTTAGGGCTCATCTAGTCTGTTTTGTTTATTAGACAGAGAAGGAAACTGAGGCCTTCCAGTTCGGTGTTGGATCATGCTGCTCTCAACTTAGGGGAATTGTAGAAACATGTGATCTGAGAAAGCTGGCTTTTTAACTTGTTCGTGTACATTGTAAATATTGAAAACCATGACTTTGAGAATCGTAAATCATAAAAGCTTCACATCTGTTTCTCCTGTGAGAACACACTTATGGACAGAAATACACAGGATGATATATATTGGAATTCCTATCTTCATGATTTAGCTAGGATCTTTTATTCCTTTCATAGTAATAGTACCTTCTTGTTCTCAGTAGCTCTTTATACTATCTCTGTCCCAACAGAAGTTGAAAAAATTCTCAGCAAAGAATATTGTATATATGTTTCCCTCTCTTTGTGTGTGTGTGTGTGTGTGTACATACATATATACAATATGACTAATCAAGGGAATTAGAAGTATGGCAGAAGAATCAGATATGTTCATGTGAGTTGAATAATTATGCTTAGAGGTCAAATTTGGTTCTCAATTTCCTGGTAGCCAGGGCAGAAAAGGAAATGTGATAGTTCCTATATTTTTTATCAAATAGAAGAAATATCCTACATCTTTAAGACACAAAGCTTTTTTACTACTAAATGTTTAAAAACAAAAAAAAAACAAAAAACACCATTTTTGGTTAAGAGGCTCTGAGAATTACATAAGGAATTGTTAGGCCAGGCATGGTGGCTCATGCCTGTAATCCCAGCACTTTGGGAGGCTGAGGCGGGTGGATCACTTGAGGTCAGGAGTTCGAGACCAGCCTGGACAGTATGGCGAAACCCCGTCTCTACTAAAAATACAAAAATTAGCCAGGCATGGTGGTGGGTGCCTGTAGTCCCAGCTATTCAGGAGGTTGAGGCAGGAGAATTGCTTGAACCCGGGAGGTGGAGGTTGCAGTGAGCTGACACCATACCACTGCACTCCAGCCTGGGCAACAGAGTGAGACTCTGCCTCAAAAAAAAAAAAAAAAAAAAGAAGGGAATTGTTTTCCGTAACAGTTTTACTGAAAATATAGATGCAATTTTCATATATTTTCTCCTAAATAGTCATTAAAGGTTGAAGGTATGGCCCAAAGTACAGCGCAGTGAAAGTAATTTGGGAAAGGACCAAGCTACTGAACTTTTTACTAAATGAATTAGCATTATTGGATTTGAGGATAGAACAATAAATTCCTAGATCAATTCTCCTAAACTGTAGTATTGCAATATACTACTGGGTCATGATCTCTCAATACCTTCCCCAGAGGTAATTATTATTCTGATTATCACCATGGTTTAGGCTTACCTCAGAAGAAATGGAATAAAACAATATGAACTCGCTTGTCTAGCTTCTTTCCCTTAACATGTCTGTGAGATTCAACCCATTGTCAGTGTACCAATTACTTATTTTATTGCTATGTAGTTTTCTGTGTAGTATTATATGAATATAACACTATTCATTTTTCCATTCTCTTGGACATTTGGGTTCTTTCTGGTTATTGGCTATTATAAGCAAATCTTCTATGAACATTTCTGTGTATATCTTTTGGTGGCTATACAAACTCATTTCTTTTGGGAATATACCTAGGATTGTAATTACTAGGGTATAGGTAGATGTATGTTTATCTGTAAGTAGATGCTGCCAAACAGTTTTCCAAAGTGGTCTGTTTTAAGATGTCCTTCAATTCGGGGATGATCGGAAGCTTTCCACATAGCACCCTTTACAAACAAGGATGCCCTTATGTCTTGTAACGCTTACTGGGGAAGAATGGTAAATAGTCATGTGTCTTTTGCTATTTTTCTCCTTTCTAGCATCAATTCCTGAAGATTGCCAAGCCCCTCTCCAGCCTCACTCCACTGATTGCTGCCGCAAAGGAGGCAACAAAGAACAATCACTAAAACCACACCCACCCCAGCCTCATTGTGCCAAGCCTTCTGTGAGATAAATGCACATTTCAGAAATTCCAACTCCTGATGCCCTCTTCTCCTTGCCTTGCTTCTCCCATTTCCTGATCTAGTGCTCTCAAGACTTTGATCCTTGGAAACCATGTGTCCAGCATTGAAGAGAATGGCAACTGAATGACTAATCAGATGATGGCCACTTCTAAATAAGGAATTTCCTTCCAATTCATGGATATGAGGGTGGTTTGATTAAGAGTTTATATGAATAAATGTTTCTAGTCTTCCATACGGCAAAATCCTCACCTCCTTCATAACCATCCCCTTATAATTAATTCTTGACTATATAAATTTATGGTTTGATAATATCAATTTGTAATCAGTTGAGATTTCTTTAGTGCTTGCTTTTCTGTGACTGAACTGCCCAGACACCTCATTGTACTTGAAAACTGGAACAGCTTGGGAATGCCATGGGGTTTGATAATCTGCCAGGGACATGAAGAGGCTCAGCTTCCTGGACCATGACTTTGGCACAGCTGATCCTGACATGGGAGAACAACCACATTTTTCTTTATGTGTGCTTCTAGCAGCTGTTTGGGAGGACCTTGACCCAATAGTGTTCCCATGCTGTTTCTTGTGAAATGCTCTCGGCTATGTAGCAGCTTTTGATTCCCTGCATACCCTAGGCTGCTGCCCCTATCTTGTCCCTTGTTTATAACATTGAGAGGTTTTCTAGGGCACATACTGAGTGAGAGCATTGTTGAGAAGTCAGGGGAAAAAAGGTGACTACTTTTAGAGCAAGGCTGGGCATCAGCACCTGTCCAGCTCTACTTGTGTGATGTTTCAGGAACTCAGCCCCTTTTTCTACCTGGGGTAAGGAGCTGAAAGATTAACTTGGATCTTCTAATGGTCTAAATCTTTTGGTCACAATACAGAGTCTCCAGATTAGAGACTGCATGTTAGTTCTGGATGGATTTGGCGGCCTGACATGATACCCTGCCAGCTGTGAGGGGACCCTGTTTTTAAGATGCATGGCCAAGCTCTCTGCCAATGGAAATGCTTACACTGGGTGTTGGGGATGTTTGCTACCTCCTGCTATTTTTGTGGTTTTGGTTCTCCCACTATGGTAGGACCCCCAGCCAGCATTGTGACTTGTCATGTCAGCCCCATTGACTACCTTCTCATGCTCTGAGGTACTACTGCCTCTGCAGCATAAATTTCTATGTCCGTCAATAAAAGGAGATGAAAGTATTCTATTGGAGTATGCCTTTTTTCTTTTGTTCTCTCTTTCCTTTTCTAATTTTTTATATGAAATAATGAATAGTTTCTTTCTGAACAATTTGAGAGTGGTAAGTTGCAGATAGGATGCCCCTTTACCACTATATACTTGAATGTGTATTCTTTCTTTTTAACACTTTTATGTTAAATATAAATTAAGATAAATGGGCCAAAACCATTTGTATTGTTTAAAGAATAATTATAAACACACTTGTATCCATCAAATCAAGAAATGGAACACTGATAATAAGAACCTTCTCTATCTTGTCTTTCCCTTTCTCATTATAGCCCCCACCCAAGAGGTAACCACTTGTCTTGACTTTTATTTAAATAACTTTCTTGCTTTTCTCTATACTTTCATCACATTCAGGTGTGTTCCAATACAAGTTGATTTTAGTTCGGCCAGTTTTTGAACTTTAAATAAACATATCATAATAGATACGTTCTTTTGTGCCTGTTATTGTTTCCACTCAAGATTATGTTTTTAAGATATATGTACCTAGTTTGTGTGTAGCTCTAGTTCATTTATTATTCCGGCTGTAAGTACTTGAGAGGAAAGTTTTAACTTGTCCAAGATGAATTCTCTGAGGACTGGCCTTCCAAAGGAGTTGGCTTTCTGCAGAACTCTGTCATAATGGACTACAGCCAACTGCTCAAGGCAGCCATACCTGGTAGAATTCTCAGGTGGCTAATCAGGCCACGGGTCTGTCACATCCTACAGCTACAACCATAAGGCTTGAGCCCCAGCTCCGATCACACCAGAGAAAATGCTACTCAAAGATGGCACAACAGAGCTAGAGGCCAGTGTTCTGTTGTGTGGTTTTACTATTGGATCACAGCACCTAATAACTACTAGAGAAGATGTGGTGCTTCTTAGGTATGCAAAATATAATCCCCATGGCTCAGTGCCTGGAGTCCTTCTCTGGAGTATGATATCTGGGCCCTACTACATTTCTTTGCCCCAGAAGGTGATGGACATTAGAGTTTCCACACTCCGGCTAATGTTCTGTAACCACATGTTTCCACCAATAAAGCAGGCTCTAAAAGGTCTGGAGTGGATACTGCCTTATCAGCTGCCCTTGTCTGCTTCATAATGGCAGCAGTAACTGGGTATTATGGAAACCAACCAAGGAATTAGAGAACCAAGATTCACCTTGGGTGAGAAAATGCCCTCTTGGCACAGGACAGCTGGCCAACCATATTCAAGGACTGGGATTGTGGGTCACTGACCGGTTGCAGAAACAAAACCTGCCAAGCCAAGGAATTTAAGAGTTATATTCCTGAGAATGGAGATCTAGGGGTGGGGGATATCACCCAGGATGGTATTCCAAGGTTGTTTTTAAGAACCTTAGAGTCACCTATGAGGAGACTTCCACTGCAGGAAAGGCTGGACGACTAGCTTTGATTAAGTTCCTGAGAAGCTTAGATTCACTGTGAACCAGAGACTTGAGGTAGAAGTTGGTGATGATCTCTTCAGGGACAGAATTCTGTGGTTACTAATGACCTTGGAGGAAGCTGTCTCCCAGGAGGGGTTCATTGAGAGTAAGGCTGAATCAGTACTGGATGAATTTTAAACTAATCATGTGGAATATGTCCCCTGATGACATGCCCCTTGTGTAAAGAATGGCATATGACCTTACCTGAGCAGAGCCAATCAAATGGGACCTTCCCTGATGTTCCTCCCTTGGCTGTGAGTGAGGAGCAGCTTGAGATGTCAGTGTTACTAAGGTGTTGCTCTTTCCTAAAAAGCAAAGATTAGGAAGGCCTAAAGAGGTGGTCTATGTGAGATGCAAAAAAGATATCTAGTACAGTAGTCCCCACTTAGCCGCTGCTTCACTTTCCGTGGTTTTAGTAACCCACAGAACAATAAGATACTTGGAGAGAGAGAGAGACCACATTCACATACGTTTTATTACAATGTATTGTTATAACTGTTCTATTTTATTACTCTTGTTCATCTCTTACTGTGCCTAATATGTTAACCTTTATTATAGGTCTATGTATAGGAAAAAAAAAAAAACATAGTATATACAGGGTTTGGTACTATCCATGGTTTTAGACACCCATTGGAGGTCTTGAACATATCTCCTGCAGATAAGGGGGGGCTACTGTGTAAGGTATTGGCTTATGTGATTACAGAGACTAACTCTTGGGATCTGCTCCACAAGCTTGAGACCCAGCAAAGTTGGTGGCATAGTTTGAAGGCCGGAGAGCCAGGGAGCCAATGGTGTAGACTCCAGTCTGAGTCTGAAGGACTGAGGACAGGAGCTGTGAGGGCAGGAGAAGATCAATGTCTCAACTCAAAACAGGCAGACAGCAAATTCAACCTTCCTTTTGCCTTTTTGTTCCATTCAGTCCATCAGCAGAAGGGATGATGCCCTTTTATGCTGGGGCGTGCCACCAGCTTTCCTCAGTCCACCAAATCAAGTGCACCCCTCTTCTGAACATACCTTCACAGACACAGCCAGCAGTAACAGTTAACTAGCCATCTGGGCATCCCATGTCCCAGTCAAGTTGACTCATAAAATTGTCACCCTTCAGGGCCGGGCGTGGTGGCTGATGCCTGTAATCCGAGCACTTTGGGAGGCTGAGGCAAGAGGATCACAAGGTTAGGAGTTTCAGACCAGCCTGGCCAACATAGTGAAACCCTGTCTCTACTAAAAATACAAAAAAAAAATTAGCTGGGCATGGTGGCAGGCACCTGTAATCCCAGCTACTTGGGAGGCTGAGGTTGGAGAATCGCTTGAACCCTGAAGGCAGAGGTTGTAGTGAGCCGAGATCACGCCACTGCACTCCAGCCCAGGCGATGGTGTGAGAATCCGTCTCAAAAAAAAAAAAATTGTCACCCTTTTTAACCACAATTTTAGGTAAAAGAGATATCCCTTAGGGGAGACCAACTATGTTGACAGCTTTTTTTTTTTTTTTCTTCTTTTCGAGGTCAGGATCTCACTCTGTTGCTCAGGCTGGAGTGCAGTGGTGGGATCTCAGCTCACTGCATCCTCCACCTCCTGGGCTCAAGTGATACTCCCACCTCAGCCCTGCAAGTAGCTGGGACTACAAGTATTAGCTACCACACCCAGCTGATTTTATTTTATTTTATTTATGATTATTATGATTTTTTTTTTGTAGAGACAGGATTTCACCATGTTGCCCATACTGATCTCAAACTCCTGAGCTCAAGTGATCCAGCCACCTTGGCCTCCCAAAGTGCTAGGATTACGGACATAAACCACACACCCGGCCTGAGCTGACGGCTCTTATGCTATGGGGTAATGGCTTTTAGATCAAGGGGTCAAAAGTGATGAGACTGGTGACCCCCAATGTTGTTTTATTGGGGAAAAAATCCCAAAAGGTACAGGAGTGCCTCCATGCAGTTGCTGAAAGGACAGGTAACAATTAGACTGACAGTTTATGGGTGAGATATAGAGAATGCTAGCTGATGGTATAGCCCATCCAGGAGACAGGAGTGATGAGAACCCAAAGATTGCACCCTGATTTTAAGACTGTGATGGTAAACTGGTAAGTTTGATGAGGACTAAGGAATCATTAATGATCACCCCTCTGGATTCGTAGAGTTGTCTGATTCATTAGGTGTTAAGACAGAAGCATTGGTTGTCCTGTGAACTTTCCAACACAATTTAGGCTCTGTAGGAATGACTGTTTACTACTAGGATGTGTAGATATCCATTCAGACAGTGGATCATGCCCAGGCATCCTAACACAACACATTCCTATATATTTTACTGCCTGCAGAGTATGAAGGCAAGAGAACCCTGAAACTCTATTCATAGACACTTGCAGCTTGTCTAATTCTATATGTCTTGAATACATTTATTGCCTGCATTAGTTTTCTATTGCTACATAACAAATTACCATAAACTTTGTGGCTTAAAACAACACAGATTATCTGATAGTTTCTATAAGTCAGAAACCTGCACAGCATGACTGAATTTTCTGCTCAGGGCCTCATCAAACTGAATGAAATCCCCCAGGTGTTGGTTCAGGCTGTGGTTCATGTGGAGCTGGGAGTCTTCTTCCAGGCTCACTGGTTGGTTGTAGAATTCATTTCCTTATAGATGTAGGACTAAGGTCTTATTTTCATGCTAGCTGTCAGCTGGGGACCACTCAGCTCCTAGAGGATGCCTGCAGTTTCTTGCCACATGGCTCCCATAGGTAACTCACAAAATACATGTTTGTTTCCTTCCAGGTCAGCTAAAATATATCTCTCTGACTTTGCCTCTGCAACTAGCCAGAGAAAACTTTTTTTCTCCAAGCCCTTTAATATTCACTTAAACAGTTGAGGCACAAGCAGTAATAAAACTACATTTTTTTTTTGAGAGAGTCTTGCTCTGTTGCCCAGGCTGGAGTGCAGTGGCACGATCTCCGCTCGCTGCAAGCTCCGCCTCCTGGGTTCACACCATTCTCCTTCCTTAGCCTCCCGAGTAGCTGGACTACAGGCGCCTGTCACCACACCCAGCTAATTCTTTTGTATTTTTGGTAGAGACAGGGTTTCACCGTGTTAGCCAGGATGGTCTCAATCTCCTGACTTTGTGATCTGCCCGCCTCGGCCTCCCAAAGTGCTGGGATTACAGGCATGAGCCACTGCACTGGGCCCTAAAACTGCATTTTTTGCATTACAAGAAGATTGTGTATGCTATGTGCATGATATACCAATTTTCTAATCTCTTCTGCAATGACATTTCATTAACACTCTGGTCCACAGGTTGATTTCATAAAGTCAGAATGGCAGGCAGGAAGTTGGTAAAATAAACTTACTGAGAGGCAAAAGGAACCAAACATTTACTGACTGCCTACTATGCACGCTCCACTAGGTTTTACACATGTTACATAAATGTGAACCTAAATTCTAGTTATCAGTTAACAGGCCAGCATTGCTATGGCCAGTAAGTCTATGTTTTAAATGTTCTTTCACCTTAAGTACGAATTGTGGAACAAAACAATG